AAGGCACACATCTGAATCAGCCCTATCATCGTCACAGCCCTGATTACAGGTGAACATATCGACGAAGGGTCGCGATCGGGGCTGTAGGTCCTGTGAGGTGGTGTCGTGGGTAGGCAGGTACATGTCCGTCTGAGACGTGGTGGACATTTCCAGGTACCTGGTTCAAGATGATAGGTATCTACATGTAGGTAATTTCACAGAGGTAGCTTGGGAGGCTTTTCAGGGTGTGATCATTGGGTTTGTTACTCGAAATACAGTGTCAAATTCATCGGGCACTTGGCCCCAGCCGGGGGGGGCTTCAGGTACTCTTCTCCAGGCCGGATACTTAGGTCATCAGGTAAAGTACCAAAGGGGTCATCCCCCTGTCCGCGTGCCCCCGGCCCCTCGCTCAGGCGTCCAAACCCCCCCCCCCCCCCTGGACGTCAAGTGCCACGCTCCCTCCCACCGAGGCGTGTGGCCCAGTCCCCTCGCGTGCGATCTCGAATTCAGAGACATCACTCGCCCTCGACATTTTTCTTTCCCAACGTCACGCACCCCTCTCCTCCATCACCGCCTGATACCCACCGCCTGAACACAGTTTCGGACTCTGCACTCTGCGCTGGCTTCGTCCCTGTCTTTGGCCGTTCTGTACGAATAACCTATAGCCATCTGCTACACTCGCCTGCCTGGCCTGACATGACGTTCCCGCGAGCTTGAGAGCCCCCCGTTGCTCGGTGACGAACAATACCCTTGTCGAACATTCTGCCTACCCAGCCTGCACATTTGCGCCGCCGACAACCTTGACGACCCCGCCAGAAAGTCAGACGACGCGAAACGCTCACGACCGCAACGATTGCATACGCTTAACAAATATATACTCGAGTCCCACCTGTAGACGGACGTACCGTTCGCCTGCTTGCCATCCCACCCGTGACGAACTCCCTCCGCGCCAGGCCGCTCCTCGACGGCCCGAGCTTCTGAAGGCAGACAAGCAAGCCTGAGGCGCTCGTGGCCGCCTGCTGTTACAAAGGCCCGCCTTGACAGTCTCACATATACTGCCGTCGTCCCAATGGAGAATGATGGCGGCGAGCTCACCCAACGTACTACTGCCCCCTCTCGTCTGCTCCCCGCTCGTGGCCTTACAAATCAGTTGAATAGCTAACATATCGCCCCTCACGGCTGCAGCGACTCAGAATGTCCTGGATCCTCGGCGTGTCGGCAAGCAAAATTCGGGCTTCTCCGACGATGACATTTCCGACATCATCTGCCTCCTCTACCCATACTCCCCTTTTGCCCGCCAAGAGGTCCTTCGGATAGCCCAGCACGACGCCACCCACATCCTCGGTCGCGAACAAGCCGCCGCCATCGAGCCCGACTATGACCAGGAGCACCAGGCCGACAACTTCCAGCTTGCGCCACCGAACACGGGTGACTATGCCCTCATCCTGAGGCTGTCGACGCTGGTCAAGGATCCGTTGCAGGGGTTTCAGTTTGGCCGGAACGCGTCACGGTGCGATGTGTGCTTCAGCAATGACCCTATGAAGAGACTATCAAATGTCCACTTTCGGATCTACGTGAACAAGTATGGCGTCGTCATGCTGGAGGATCAGTCCACGAACGGAACCTTTGTGGATTCTAATCTCCTGAAGGGCAAGAACCCGAACGACAAGATGGATGTGCGGCGGACATTGAGTCACGGCTCCAAGATCAAGATCCTGATGCATTCCGAGCAGCAGGATCTGGAGTTCCTTGTTCGGATACCCAAGCGCGAGGGGGAGTACGACAGAGCTTGGATCCGAAATCTGGAGGACTACTTCGAGCGCATCGACGATCTGCAGAAAGAGGCTGCGGAAACAGTGGTACCTACCCCAGGAGGCGGGCATCCCGATCTCTTCTCTTCACCTAAAAATCGACCGCCGCCGGCGCAGCCGCCCAAGAGGATACCACTTCCGTCCGGCACGACACAGGAGAACGTAGACCGGTTCCCTCGGGAGTGGCGTGGCTCTAACAAGTACAATAAGGTCGGCCAGATCGGCAAGGGCGCCTTCGCCATTGTCCACAAAGTCACGTCCAAGTTCGACGGCAAACCTTACGCAGCGAAAGAGCTGGAGAAGCGGCGGTTCATGAAGAATGGAGTTCTGGACCAGAAGGTCGAGAACGAGATGAGGATCATGCAGAAAGTCCATCATGCAAGTCTCCTTCCCCGACGTAGGACCCGTGTCTACGACTAACATCTCAGCCAGAATAACGTGGTCCGCTACATCGAGCATTTCGATTGGGAGAATCGCTTGCTCATCATCATCATGGAGTTCGTCCCCGGAGGTGACCTCGGCAGGCTCGTCGCTGAAAGGGGCATCCTTCCCGAAGTGTTGGTTCAG